AAATTTATATTTCATTCAAAAATAAATTTATTATCTTTTTTCTCAAAACCACATAAAAAACATATTAAAACATCCATAAAGACGAAATAAAACGAAACATTCAAATAAAGATATATCTTGTTACATTGCACAAGTACCTTTCTAGTTCTTTTAAAATGCACATAAAATTAGCAATTAAATCGATTATATGTTTATTTGACATATTTTGCAACATATATTTAGGTTAAAAAAAAATCATATTCAGTGATTATGTTTAACATAAAATTAAATGAAATTAAAATTACAATCTTAATAGCATAAAAAGGGTTCAAGTTCGTTTTCCGCAAGAAAGAAACATGAACCAAGTGTGTATTCAAACAAAGTCGTTCCGTCTTTTTGATTAAGCTACACGATCAACGGTTTATATTAACAGCGAATATGTTCTTCAAGATTTATTTACTAACTTTCTGTTTTTGTCTTGTACTTGTTTGAAAATAATTGCTATGAATTAAAGAAAAGAAAAAATTGTTGTCACATTTCCATTTAATGATTATATATAACAAATGAAGAGCTTTCTACCAAGAATTCATAAAGCTTTCTTGGCCTCTAACCGGTTACGGTCAGCCTTGATCTTGACTACAACCGGTTATGGATGTAAAAATCTAGAACCTATCATAACCAACATAACCGATCGAGTAACCCAGTTGCAAAGGTCCAATCGTGCATCTGTTTCTCCTGCTACACACTTTGAATATCGGAATTGATTTCATTCTAAAAATTAGTCTATTAGCTTGTTCGTATAATTATGTATCAAGACTAGATTTATATGCACAAATCGTGCAGCGAGCTTCATTATTACTAGACGTCGTCAAATGAGCATTTAGTAATATCCCAGAAACATCAAGCATCCACATGAACCTTTACCTTCAAAGGAAAAGAAAAACAAAAAGCAATTCTCACTTCAATTGCAACAAACTCAACAGTACAACACCCCATTGAACCACACCACAATCACAAGAATAAAAATGTACAAATAATTTGCTTCATATATAAGGAAAGAGAACCAAACATAACCCATATATCCCCCACCCAAAGGTAGATAGGGTCTGGGAATAAGATGTACATAGACCTTACCTTTACCTGTTTGTCCCTCCCATGAGAACCACCACCACCTCTAGCTTGCATAAAGGCAAAAGAAACATGTAAGCAACAAACATAACTAATACACCACTTAAATGGATCAATAAGTTAGAATTTTTAAGAAAAAGATCCATCTCTTGCTTTCATAAACAAGTGTGTTTGAAAAGGCAGGCACAAATCCATGGATACTAGATGTGCCACTAGCTACAAGGCCTAATGCAAGCAACCTCAAAAAAAAATACAAAAAAGTACAAAATTATTTTCAAAAAGTTAACCAGCACAAGGTGGATAATCTTAGTGTTAGCCGTTTACCAAACGCTTATTGGCAAAAGTCACCACCCTCGTTCACCTTACCAGGTAACATAGTAGAAATCAAAATAGATTGTTGGTAAGCATGTTTTATCAAGTAAATCTTTTTCCTCACTGGGTAAGATTTACTTGATATTCCTCTTATTGGGTAATTCTCGGACTTCCGCATGCTCACTAGATAAGGTAAGTGACACCTCATTGGTAAACGGTCTTAATTTATTGCCTCTTTAAGCCTTAAAAGGCTTGCTCAGTAGTACGATCATAACAAGCAAAAAATAATTCAAAATGTTTCTTAAATCCTCAACACTACACATGTTAAACAAGGGCCACTTGACTTCTTTTCTCTTGTGCGTATTAACACGTTTGTTTACCCTGCTGAAATCACATAGTGGCGTGGCATTAAATTTTTGGTTTTACCCAAAAAGCTCATTCTGATTAAAACAACTACTAGTATAAACATAGAATGAAATCTATAGCTTTGGATTAAAATTATACTTCAAGGATACCTGATAGAATTAAGCACTCAAACTGGAAAATCCCAGAAATCATATTTTTTTCTTGCTCGCAACCCATAAAGCTGCATCTCATACAAGGTTCAGTTCAATCGGTAAGTAAGAAACATGCCACTGGACATGGTAAAGAGCAACATGTCCTTGAAATTATAAAGAGGATTCTATTTGGATGTCCTCCAAACTGGGTATTCCTACTCTTCACATGTACGCTAGTGCACATAAATTGACATCATATAAAATAACATTAAACAACTATAATCATCTAATTGACATCATATGAAATTATGATCCAATTTCATCTGAAATGTGAAACGACTTGGCATTCATGGAACAAGCCCTTAAGAACTGGAAGCAATGTAATCCTCATGCAGCTGAATACCCAGACGTAGACAAATACTAAATCTAAACCTGGAGGAGGAAACCTAAAAAGCGAATAAAAATCTGCTGTCCGTGAAGCCATGTCATTATTTTATTTTATATAATTTTTTATTTAATTAATGTTTTCTCTCCTCAACAAATTGACATGTGGCTTCACGTGATTTGGGGACAGCAGATTTTAATAAAACACGAGCACCTAAACAAGGGCAGGAATCTTATAAGTTGAATAGTTCCCACAGAATGGACGATCATAAAAGGGAAAACAATAAAGAAAAGGAAAAAAAAAGCACAATTCAAAACACAAGCTAATGAACTGTACACCCCATGCCTTGTAAAATTTTATCTAAACAACATAGCAAATATTCCCACCACTTCCTGACCACACTCTACTTTCCAGCCAAAAAGACATGACCTTACCAATTTGCCCCGATAAAAAAGTGAAAAAGTGTAACCATTTATTTCTCTTTGGTTTCAAGAAATCATAATTGTTGCAAAAACCCAAAAAGGAACACTCTCTTGGAAAAATTCAACCATGGTACTAAAATTTAGCTATCAAAATAATCACTGTACTAGTAAATAATTGGAGGAAAAATCAAGGTGTCTCAAAGACAGGTGAATGGATAGAGACGTGCTCGTGAATTTTGTTGGCTCGAGTTCAAGCCTTATTTGCTGCGCCTTTTGCCATATTATTTCTTATAAATCATGGCATCACCTATTTCCAAAAGGTAGATGAATGGTGCCCAGATACGAACCCCAGGCCATACTTGATGGATTCCCACCTCTTCAACGCTACGGAAATTCAGCAAGAAAAAAATGTTCACTAACTATAATGTTTTGGGATTCTTACAGCAGAATCATTATTTTGAAAGCTAAAGCCAAGTACAATGGCTGCAATTGTTTTCTTCCTGATAAAAATGGTGTTGCTGTCGGGGCTCATCAAGGAAAAATGTGTCCAAATGTCAATTTTTGGTAAGAAAGATTAACGGTTGAATAAACATTACTAGCGGTTACTTTATCGTTATTTAACTTGATTATACATGATGCAGAACAAATCCTAACAAAGGTGTTTCCAAACAGTTTGAAATCAGGTAACCGACTAGACAACATTCAAATGGGAAAAATCATTGTGGGATGGAGCAAGTAATTCTTTCCTAAGAATATGACATTATAAGAAAGGATAACTGTTGCAAACCACAATATGCATCCCAAATCAGACAACTTCCAATAGTGACGTTAACTCACCCTGTTGAACAGAATCAATTTTATCTCCTTCGAAATTATATTAACTTGCTAAAGTTAAATCTGATTAAGCAAATTCAGTATTTCACAGATCCTATCAAGTTGCTTGTGATTTAACACACTGGGAACTTTGACAACAAAACAGCCTCTTTTTCAAGGTAGTCATCCTGAAATTGAGCATACAGCAAAGATCGAATATAGACCAGAAAACTTATGCAAATAGTTAACATTCTTTAGATGTGGATACTCATCCTGAGATTTTAAAGTATACATCACAGAACAGAACAAGTATGGCTAAGAAATTTATGCAGCCGGTTAATGGAAGAGTTGATCAGTTAAGATATACAAAGATATATAGGTGAGGATTGAAACTTATAAACATTTACACAGGTGGCCATATAAAATAACTGTGTTTATAAGTGACGATGTGAAATTAACGCAGACAAGCTGAAGACCCATATTCAGAAAGAAAAAAGAAGAACCTTGACATGATCACTCCTGCAACTGTTTAACAGAACTGCAGGAGTAGAAAATGGCACAAAAGACTAAAAAGATGATCAGAGTATTGATACTTACAGAAGTTGGAAAGGCATAGAGACTGTACCTTAAATGACAAAAAAGTAAAGAGACTAATGTCAGAATATATATGTAGATACCATGCAGGATGGAATCCATCTCTAGCATGAAAGCAGTAAAAATAAACAGGATCACTCACTGAATATACTTTTACTTCAAAGCTCCAGCACACACGCCTCCATGCATGATCATCCAGAGTGACCAAACCATGAATCAGGTGGAATAGAGCATCATTAGAATATAGATTTAATTATGGACAAATGATTTAACTAGCATAAAGAAAAAGCATTATGTCACCTATGTGGCCTCCTAACACAGGATGACATATACAACTAACAGAAGGCATGAAGCACTTGTTTAACATATAGCTAGACACTAGCACCTATATTCTACAACAAAAAAAGAAACAGATTTCATCTTCTAAATGCTACACGCGGAAAATATCACAACTTTCAAAGCCAGAAGCAATGAAACGAACTCCAGCACAGAAATTCTCAATGGCAATAGTGCCCTTCAAATTTCATGAGTGCTAATGCACTCGTGAATAAGAAAAAAAAGCTTAAAAGTTATAACTTGTCATAATAAGCTCCAAACAGACAAACCAAGATACCTTCTCCAGAGTGCCATTAAACATCTAAAGCACTGCCTGGTGGCCTCATAGCACTGGTAGATTCCTGAATGAAAAAGTAAATTAGACTCTCCAGGACTTCAACATAAAATCGTGAGGTGCATTAAACTAAGAAACTGGAACAGAGATATATTTAGTACAATATATGTTCATTAAAGAACGAAGTAACCCACGCATCATAAACAGGGAAAGACAAATTTAAAGTCGTCTTAGACACAACGATGAAGTGAAGAAAAAACAAAAAATGGAAGCAATGAAAACAGTATTTTGTGCAAGCACACAAAAAACCAGATTTCTATCATTATCAATCTATAGAGCATAGATAACTTCCAAATACAGTTGCAGGAGCTGATGTTCAATATACAAAGTAAAGAAAAAAGCTTGAATTAAGATTTTCCTTAATGGTCACCATCAAGAATGAGTACAAGAGGAGAAAACGCCTGTGGCGAGTTATCTTACAATAGAACAGTACATATTCCACGGAAAGAACCGCCAAGAGGTCGTCCAACCTAACATCATGTCTGCGGACTTCGGCCATGTCAGGAACTGTGTCCGAAGTTCTTAAGCCAGCACATAGATAAAGACAGATAAATGCCCAATGATTAGAGAATAAAATGAAATTTAGATCATAATTGATAAAATGCAACAGCATTTCTCTGAGTCACGAAATCAGCATCATTATCACTTGCCCGTGATGAATGGATGGCTCAGTGCCTGCTGCACAGTTATCCTCTTATCAGGATCTAAGATAAATATCTTCTCCAGAAGATCCTTAAAATTGGCTACCATCTTTGCATCCTCTCCAGGAGAGCTCATAACAATAGAACTAATGTCTTTCGGCTTCATATTAACCAGCCTCTTTACAGTCTGAAAATTGAGTTAAACCAGTGTCATAAGATAACTCACTTTACATGGTAACAGAGTACAACTACTAATAATGGTGCATACCTTCTTGGTAACAGGGTCCTCCTCTATGGCAACAAAGTTGAGGTCTGGATCAAAATGAAGTTCGGTGAATGCTCCCTACAGGGAACGTGGGCAAAAAGACAGCAGAAAAGTACATGTTAACTTGCTTGCACCAAATAAGAAAAAGGAACAAGGAGAGGAATAAAATACAAAACAAGCCATAACAGCTTCTTTGCCAACATAACAAACCATTAGTAACATTCATACTGGCAGCCTCAAACTCATAAAACAAAATAAGTACACAGGATGTGCAAGAGAATTGAAGAAGCACCTTTCGCAGCATCTTTTTTGCAAATGGACCTTTCAGTTCCATGTGAAGGCGAAGCATATCGTTGTTTGTAGCACCAGGGAATAAAACCTTCCCAGTATAAAGCTCAAACAAACAGCAACCAAYGGACCACATATCAACAGGATGATCATAAGTCAAACCTAGAACTGCATAAACAGAAAGTTTGACAAGTCAATGACTTGCTCCACATATGCTGGTGTAGCAGCTACCAACATATTAATTTTAATGAGTAAAGAGGATATTCCAGCCAAGGGAGCATACCCTTTGAATACAGTACTTACTTATTTCAGGGGCACGATAAAAGCGGCTCACAAGGTACGGTGTGATCTCATTTTTCCCAGCAAACATAGCATTTCCAAAGTCACAAAGCTTCAGAACATTTTTCGCATCGTTTACCTGAAGATCATATGAATTAGAGTGTCTATGTTTATCAGAGAGACGTTAATAAAACAAAAAGATGACAAACTAAAGAATCAGGTTAAAAGTACGAACCAGCATGTTATCTGGCTTAATGTCGGTATGAAGGACGCCACAGTTTCTAAGATGTTTTAGAGCAATGAAGAGCTGTTTTGCATAGGCCCTTACAGCAGTTAGTTTAAGACCAATATTACGACCAAACTTCTTTAATACTTCACGAAGATTCATATGAAGAGACTCAAAAACTAAACAAAGATGATTCCGGTACTTGAAACTGGAAAGGAACCGGACACAATGGCGCCTGTCCTCCATGTCTGCACCAACTAACTTCTTCAATATGACCAATTCTTCTAAACCAGCTTTATACCTATTCAAAGCACGTAGAGCAAGAGTTTAGGCTTTTTGCATTCCCCCGAGTAAAATTCTGAAGAATTTATGTGTAAGCATAGAACAAGCATAGTCACCAAAAGCAGGGCCAGTTCAGCATTGCCTACATTTTATCGTTGTTGCGTATGATTTTTATTGCCACTTCTTCTGGATCACCAGATCCGGCCTTGAGATCCCTTGCACGAACCACTGTTGAAAAAACGCCTTTACCATGAGCAGCAACAACCTCATATCGACCATCAAGTATTTCCCCAAAACGGTAACCTGCAGGTGAAAGAGATAACTGAGAAAACACAGTAGATTTCAAATCTAAAATGACAAATACAAAATGGGTCAAATAAATCTCAGTTAAATTATATGTATCAATCAGGCATTGTTGGAATAACGTTCCTGGGGAAATGAAAGATTCTTGAATCTAAGTGCAAAGTTCCAAAGGTGAAGTACATGCAAAAGACAATATAATTCCTTCCAAAACTCCAAAGCCTCGTGTATCAGGCAACAACCACAGCCAATTAGTGGACAACGACTTATCCCTCCAGGGAACAACCTTATTATTGCATATTAAAGCTCTAAATCTGCATCATCTATCTTTTAACAAAGCAAAAACCAATATCAATGATAACCACCTATAACTTCTACATATTCATTGTGCCTCCTTACACTATATTTCTTTTGCATGTCGAACTTCTCTTGTCAAGTTGTCAGTCATCTCTGATATTTACATTAACATTGATTATACAACCCACTTGTTCTTCTTTTCATTTTCTGTGCAAGTCAGCAACCCACTTTGTAAGGGAAAGACTTTACCATTTTTATTGCATTTTAGAGCTCTAAATCTGCATCATCTGTCTTTTAACAAAAGCATAAACCAATATCAATGATAACCACCTATAACTTCTACATATTCATTGTGCCTCCTTACACTATTTTTCTTTTGCATGTCAACTTCTCTTGTCAAGTTGTCAGTCATCTCTGATATTTACATTAACATTGATTATACAACCCAATTGTTCTTCATTTCATTTTCTGTGCAAGTCAGCAACCCACTTTGTAAGGGAAAGACTTTCACCATTTTTTAAAGTTTCAACATGCTTTGAAATTGATAGAAGTGCTGGAAGAAGTAAAAAAGCATGTGGTGCATGAAAAATAGCAACATTTGTTATTCATCCAAGATGAAAGAGAAAACTTGTAACAAATCATAAAAATGTCAGTTATGGCTTTATGCTACTTACTGTAATAACCTTCTGCATCATCCCAATTATCCTGAAGGCCACTTCTCTGGATAGCCAAACCATCACCTTTTCCCTGGAAACATAACAAACACATGAGGACACAGAAAACTAGTGTATAAAAATACAATCAGAGTTAGTGCAAGATGTCTTCACTGCAAGAAACAATAGAGACTATAATATCTGGCGAATTTAGAAGCATGTGGACTTTGACTTGTTACAAAGAAGATATTACAAAACAGAAACTATGATATATTTTTATCTGTGACGTGTGAGGAAACAGGGATGGAAACAGAAAAAAGATCGACGGTCGAGCAAATGCACACACATCTTAACAAACAGAAATGGAGTGTCACAAAGTAATGATTGTAGAAGCAAGAGAGATCCAAAAGAATATGATGATAGAGGAAAGGCACTAATTTGACAAAGGTTTACCATATAACTTCTCTAGCAGTAAGAAATGGCAAATATCAAAATAGAAGAGTTAGCTTACTTTAATGCCCAATGATGACATAACGAGAAGGATAGTAACTTAAAATTGGTTTCCCATATAACTTCTCTAATGATAAGAAAGGGTGATATCAAAATAGAACAGTTGGCTTATTTTAATGGCACCAAAAGCAATGACAAGATTACCAAGTGGCTAGACATACAGATAAGAGAAGCATGTGTACAATAAGAAACACCTATGTGTAAGAGTTAAATGCAATATGATGCAGTTCTCAAAGAACAGTGTCAGAAAAACAGACATGAGCCATGCAAAAAACCAATCTCTGTCACATACCACAACCATACAATGTTAGGTCAGGTCACATTAACAAGTATTCTACTTCTAAAAGGATTTCATCATATGGCTTGAGCATCCAATATTACATTTTAATCAAGCATATGTTTGTGCTTAAGAAAACAATGAGCCTGTGTCTTACATATTTTCGTACTCCAGCTGGTGACTCTCCAAATATATCATCAGAGAACATGTCATTTGATCTCTCATTCTGTGCATTTCAAAGAAACCAGTCATCAATTGAGAGACTTCACAGCTAATTAGTAAGGAATTCAAATAAAATCCAAACAATCCATACATATTTATGCTTACCATTTCACGGACTCGAGGTGGAGATTCTCCAAATATATCATCACCATTCGATCGCTCACTCTGTAATATTCATTGAAATAGAAATCAATATACACAGAGAAACTAGCCAGTTATTTCATGAAGTACAAAAAACCACCGCACCTTTGGAGTACCCTCTCCCAATCCCCCAGTACCAGAGTTCCTCTCAGCACCAGAATTACCATTTTGTGGAGTTGATCTACCAACAGAAAATGGTGTGTCTCCAGTGTTAGTATCGGATCCTTCTCCTTGACCATCAAGAGTGCCTGAATGAACTTTAGCTGCTGAAGCTACAGACTGAGAATTCTCTTCCACATTCTTTTTTTGGATAAAAGGCTCTCCCACATCCTCTTTAACTGTTCAATGCAATGGAAATAATGCAGGAAACAAAAAAGTGTCAAAAAACAAATAACAAAAAAGCCTCCATGCCCCAGAAGACTTCAAAAAACATTTTGGGAGGGTAACTTTGTTGTGCCTTGTTCAAAGTTTCAGTGAAATCATAAAACTACCGGTAGTTCCTCCAAAAAATTAGAAAGCACATCCCTTCTGCATTGTCAAAATCTAATCATAATCTGTAACCTCTCATTCAGTGAACATTTCACAATACATCTCACAATTATGTGTGAGAACTCATTTTTAATCCACATAATTCAAAATACTGAAATGACCACTCTACTTTGTTTATACATTAAGCAATTAAAGTTAATGGGTAGTTAGCAGGGGTTATACATTTATTTGATACGTGTGGAAGGTAACTGTCCTAACCAGAATGCAAAGTACCACATGGTTTAACGCATTCAAATCTTTTTATAGCAACTTATATTACGTTATTTGATGTAACCAATATAACATCCAGCACCATGCATACGTTAACCATCAAAATATTCAACAGAAAGATAAGAGTCACAATTTCTAATTTACTTTAAGATAATTTTATGAAAACCCTAAACATGACAATCAAAGTGACCTCCATCCCTAAGATGAACTCAAGCACACAAACAAAAAGCTCAAACATGAAACACATGGGAAAAAGAAACTTACCTGTATCCTCAAACTGAGGCTCTTGTTGCTTCTGCCGCAATGGCTTAGTCCTATATTTTTCAAGGATCCTTCTACTCTCCTCTTTTATTCTGTTAAGATCTTCTTCTTCATCGTCCTCAGCTTCCAATGCACTTCTTTCTTGATATACCTCTTCATCAACCTCCTCCCTAAAGCAAACTTGATTTCAAAATACAATTTAAAACAAAAAGATCAACTGATAAATGCAGATGTATAAAACAAACCTTCTTTTGGTATCTACATCTGAAGGTGCACCTTTGAAACTATCAGCTTTTTCTATGTCATATTTCCTAGGTCTATCTCTGTAGTTTGTTTCCTCAGGCCTACGATGTTTGTAATCATCGATCCTATCACGACCACCACGTCCATCACCAGCATCATTGTGGTTGTAAGTTCTTCTATTTCTACTACTCTCTCTCTCCATACCTATGTCATGTGACCTCTCCCGTTCCCGCTCTCTCTCTCGCTCCCGCCTTCCCCTCTCTCTCCTGTCTCTATCTCTCTCCCTGTCCCTCTCCCTCTCTCTCTCCCTATAACGTTCTGCATCCTTGATGCTTTTGTGTTGCCTCTCCACCTCAAGTTCCTTCTTTTTCACTCTGTCCCTCTCAATCTCTTTCAAATCTCTCCCTCTATCTCTATCCCTATCCCATGTCTCCCAGCTGCCCTCCCTAATTCTCTCTCCAGACTCCCTGCTGTGATGCTTATCTACTTGTAGACCATGTCTGCTACGACTAGAACTACGCTCTCTTTCCTTATCCCTTGCTGAATCTCGACTGCCATGTCGATAGTCCTTTGTAAGTTTGTTCAGTCTTTCATTGTCACCATCCCCGTTATTTTTCCTGCTTGTAAAATATTCAATATCCTCTTTGTGTGTCTCGAGACGAGATGCTCCATGAGAAATGCTCCGAGACCGTGACCTCTCCCTACCCGGCTCATGAGACCTAGATCTACTAGTAGTAGTAACATCTTCCTGACTTCTTTCATGCACATGCACGCTTGACAAGTCTTTTTGCACTTTCACGTAATTTTCATTAGACAAAGATTTCTTCCGGTCCCTCGTTTCAAAATCATCATCATAATGACTCTTTCTATTACCATTTCCTCCTGGTGACCAACTTCTTCTAGGTTGGTTACTGACTCCTATATGAGACTCGTCTCTCATGTACCCATTATCATTATGCTTCTTACTTCGATTTGCCTCCTTATCAACTGCCTCACATATCTTGGAGCCATGAACAGAATTCCTCTCCGAGAAAGCCTTAGCCACCACGCCATCATTTTCATGGTCCCCATCCATCAATTGTCCACCAGATAGATGAGCATTATCATCATCCAACGGCAACCTGATACTACGATTAGGCACTACCACAGCACCACCAGTTTCCTACAAAAAACAAATAAAAGATTAAGAAACAATGAACGCACATTTACGATACATAGCAAAACTAAAAGACCAACATTAGATAACAAGTTCAAAAATGAAGGAAAAAAAGAACAAGAGACATGTAACCAGTTCTTACAAATCAGTTGAAAATCATCAGTAGCCTTCATGATACTCCTAATTTTTTTAAACTGTGGCCTGGAAAATAGATGTGACTGGTGGTGGAGTGCATAGCTCCTTTTCGAACTCATATCACAATTCTGTGTGTCGCAAACAGGATCTTAAACCATTTGTAAGAACCCAAAGACTCCATTATACAAATGAACAAGGGGAAATCAGAATACTAACATGATTTATGGCCATCTGCAAGTTTTTTATGGCCAAAGCAACAAAACCACACGGTTTCATTAAGGTTGGAGCGAACCAAGTGGGTTTGCGATTTTTAAATGAAACCAAGTCCTTTCGTTGCTTATGCAGTAACAGATTCGCTCATGCGGCCACAACACTGTTGTGCAGTCTAAGATATTAGAAAGTAACAACGAATCCTCGTTGGCTGCTGAGAAATGGAAACCCTAATTTTACTCGACCCAGTTAAGATTTAACCGGTTTATCAGAGACGAAATTGGGAGCAAAAAGCTCAATTTTATACCAAGTTCTTGCCAATTTCTCAGCAACCAGAAATAGCTACAAAGAAAAATCGTTGAAGTTCATGGATTTACAAAAATAAATAAAAACAAATAACGTGGAGTTCGAACAGACCATTTTGATTTCTCCGGACTCGGCATCAGAATCTGCTGTCTTCTTCCCGTCGAAATCAGCAGCATCTTCTTCCACAATCTCTCCTTCCTCCATGTCATAATCAGGCCGACAATTAGCAGACGGAGGATGAGGAGGAGGAGGCGGCATGTCTGTGACTTCTTCCTCGCCCTCCTCACGTTTGTCTTCGTGCTTCTCGTGCTTTCGACTGTGATGACGGTGGTGACGGCGACGGTGATGACGGTGCTTGCGGCGTTTTGAGGGTTCTTCAGATTCGTCGTCAGATGAACGACGGTGCTTGCGTTCTTCCCGGTCGCTGGCCATGGCAAAAACTAGGGTTGGGCAAAATCGAAGGAATTGAAAGGGTTAGATTCAACGAATTGCAAGTATGGGTTAAATCGAGTAAAGAAATCTCGATGGTTTTTGTGTTGAATCTGGTACAAGGGATTTTTGCCCAACCTAGAATTGTCACTCATCATATATATATACAACAAGGACGACTAATTTGCATTATTGGTAAAATTTAACAATTACATTTTTTTAATTTTTTTTTTTTAATAAAGATCATATAATTTAATAAAAAATAATAATTCATAATCAAATAAACATAACACCAACGCCATTGTCGCCCCCGCGGTTGTTATCGCCACTGCTATCATCGTCACTACTATCATCATCATTGCCACCGTCACCGCCTCCACCTCACCACCACTATTGTATTCAATAATCTAAATAGACAAATTTCAATTCTTTTGATTGATTTCATTACAAATTATGTTGACCAAATGTATGGTCAAACTTGATTAAATTTCATTTCGATTTCTTTTTATATTCCGATTCCTTTGACATATTATAATCTCGAAAAGGGACATAAACAATCTTACGAAAATATTATGTATATTATTGATTATTAAATGGAAAAAATATAAAAATCTAATCTTACTTTATTTTGATAAAGTTTGCCAACGTGTTAATTATATTGATTTGTCAAGTCAGATGCTACTCTTGCATCGGCTCATTCTCTTTCTCGTTAGGGAATTACCGAGGCAAAATCAAATCTCTTGGAAGTATGGATACCCGTATAATCGTCGAAGGATGTTGAAGTGACAAATTTTTGGAAATTGGGAAATGTTGATTTAGGGGATTGTTTTATTTTTATGTAATATTGAATATTTTTAAATATTCAATAAGTAATAAAAATATTTTCGTATAAGAATATTATTTTATTTGAGTAAAAGTTGATTACCGGCAATTTCAACCGGTCCTACACGAAACCCGCCTCCAATGCCACCAATGTGAGAGGGCATTTTTTGAATCACTCAGAGGTCAAGGCCAGCCAGGGGGTTGGGATTGAACCATGACATGTATTGTATTTGGATAAAGTCATCTGACCCTCTTATCAACTGAGCTACACACCATAAACAAGAGTATTATTTTATTACTTTGCATGTTTATGAAATTTGTGTAATATTGAGGATTATTCAAGCCGCAACGTGGTCACATGCAATAAAGTTATCTGGGAAATGGAGCACGATAACAACTAAATTGCTATTGACGTAAGGTTTGCAATAAAAAAACATGCACACAAAGTATTCTAAATACGCACCATGGTTTAGTCAATATAGTCAACCATATATGCAACGACGTCTAATTGTTTATACAGTTTAGCATATATAGTAATGACAGAGATGCTGAACTGTACGTTCATCGATGATTCTTCACATTATTCAAATAAAATAAAATTTGAAGGATTATTTACATGTACATATTTACATCATACAATTTTATTATAAGAACTTTGCTACTTTAATGTATGTAGCGGTCTATGATCGGAGCTTCCTCTTGTGCCTCGTAATGAGTAACCACCTCTCCGATTTCAAGAATTTCAACTCTACGCTTCATTTTTTTCCTTAGTTTTATGGCAACATCAGCTGGTTTAAACCTTCCGCATACACTGACTCTGTTTTCCTGCTTTTCTATCAGGTGCTTTTCTATTTCTTTGCCACCATAATTGAAAAGAGCACAAGAAAGAAAACAAGAAATGTTAGAAAATGACATCGATCTTTTACAATAATCAAATAGCTAAAATCTTCTATCATGTTTGTTTACTGATAATTATTATAAGATATTTACGATTTTCGTTGTTGTCTACAAGTTTTCTTAATTTTATCATTTGAAATGGGTTTTCAAGTATTTGATTAGTAGTTAAAGATTTTTTTTTATTAAATTGAATACCAAATTAAATGTTTTATATCTTGACAATAGAAATACCTTCTAAAAACCAAAAAACTTTATGCTTGATGATGCAAAATGGCGAATTGTTTCTTAAGGCCCCATTTCACAACAACGATCATATATAAATATATTTGACTATTTTGTTATAGGGTTTGGGTTCCGTTGAGAAGAGAAGTTATGGTAAGAAACGTAAGAAGACATCTTTATCCTTAGATCGATCATAATTGAACGTCATCACTAATAAGGTGCACTAGATCAATTCATTTCTAAAGCGCATTTCATGGGTGAACATGAGATTAAAAGTGATCAAGGGTTCAAATATCTTCTTACGTTTCTCACCATAACTTCTCTTCTCACACGATTATTTGCCTTCTGTTATATGTGTATCAACATGAATACTACACCAACAAATTTCTATACATTTTATGGTTAACTACGAGCCCACAAGCAAAGGCGGATCACAAATTGACTGGATCACAATAATGGAGGGGCCCGAAAATATTTTATACTCAAAACCTTAATGGATTGAAAATGTTTCACTCTATAAGGAAAAAAAGCCCACGGGCCAAGGCCTCTAAAGACCCCTATGGCCATCCACCCTTGCCCACAAGCGTAGTTGTGCCTTTTTGTTTTAGTTTGGTTCTATCTAACGTCCAAATTATTTACAATTTTGTAAAATAAAACTATACAAAACATTTATATATATATATATATATATATATATTTTAAATATAACTGTTGACTACTATCACAACGTAAACAATTAAATACGTACCTTTCATGTTTAAAATGTTTCTCCTCATTTTCCTGCAACAGGAGTTGCAATCAAGATTAACCCTCATTACCATGCAATATGCCTATCAAATTTCCCACATAAAAAAAGATAATTAGCAGCTAAAAAAAGACCAGTGAGGAGAAAAAAAACCGTTATAAGTCACAAAAGCGAAAAACATCCCAATGTCTTTCAAGATTATGGTAGCGAAATTAGTTCAAGTTTCAATAAACTCTATTCTTACCTGTCCCTCCATGATATTTTGAGAATTCTGCTACGAATAATATCAGTAACGTACAAACAATACAAATAAAAAATATCAGTTTGTTCGTTAGTTTTTAATACAAATGATTTATATTACAAATGTTTGGACCATTATGATATGGATATGGAAAAGGATGATGTTTTTAAGGGTGAGGATAGAAAACTTGGGGAAAAGAAAGATGAGGAGGTTAAGTGACCTTTAAAACAATTTAGGGTTTACTTTTGGACTACTTGATCTCATGTTAGGGAAAGCATATCATTGTTTCCCCTCGCATTATTATTTGCATAGGTCTTGTCATCATTATATATAGAGAGAGACTTGGTATATATATATATATATATATATATATATATATATATATATATATATATATATATATATNTATATATATATAGATTTGGGATCACGTGAGACCAAAGGTTTTTCGTGAGACCTGTAAGACCAATTATCAATCTTTGGATTAGATCTACAATTTAAACATTCATAATCATAAAATTGCCATGAGACTTCTCAATAATCACAAAATTGTCACCATACAACTTTAGAGCATTAAATCATTAGCTTATAAAGTTGATCAATGAACATAAATTGGTGTCACGAGTCTCACGAAGAACCCAACCCTATATATATGTGTATATATAATATTATATTTTTTGGTCGATTTTATATACAATTGGTATAACTATAAGGTATTTAGTGTTCTCGTTTATATTTTTACCAAATAATGATTTTTTTGAAAGGCTGGTATAATATTTATATATAAATATAAAATAAAATAGTAATTGAAGTTATGGAATGTTAAAGTTTGTTTTTCTTTGTTTTTTTCATATACCTTGTCATCTCATCATAAATGTAACAATCTTTTGGTTTCGTTAAAAAATGTAACATTTTTATATTTTTGGAGTAACTTTTGGTTTTAGTTTTTGAATTTTATTCATTTCATTAAAAAATTGTTTCAAAATTCCATTTACTTTTTTGTCCTTCCCACTTAGGGTGCGTTTGATACACTGAACAGGGATAAGACAGAACAGGACATGGATCCATATCCCATGTTTGACATGAATTTTATGTGGAACAGACAAGAACAGAGTGGAACAGGCCTGTTCCACCCCTACCCTATGGAACATGATGGAACAAGGTGAAACACACTTATATTTTACCAATATAACCTCAAAATTAAACTTAATTCTCTTCAAAAACATCAAATAGGTCTCTCTTTTACATTTTATTTATTGTATTTTATGTTTCTTAAACTTTCATGTTACTGTCCTCAAAATATTATTTGTATACAGTTTCTATATTTTTATTAATTTATGTAATTTACTATATATTAATAATAAAAAATAATGTAGAAAAGAGATAAAAATAAAAATGAAAAACCACATAAACTTTTTATTTGGTGTCATTTTAATTATTTTGACGAAAATTTCAAATGATATATTTTGTTATAAAAAATAATTATTCTATTATAATTTAATAAATTACATAAATTGTTTTCTTGATTTTATCACCGTCAAACGTATTGTGTAAGGTTCACGCATGCAATTTCTTGTTTTCGATGAGTTTTGTATGTTCTCTTGATCAGAGTAGTAAATATTCGATTTTGATCTTACATGAGTGATTGCACATGTGATAGATGAATTCTTTTGTTTTCTGGAATCCAAGTTTTGTGAATGTGATGATACTATATGGGATCACTAGCCAAATTGTTTTCTTGATGCTTATATTTTATTTACTATTTGATATTCAATCCATTTTAATTGATTGTGCGCTTGTTGGTAGTAGTTTTTTCTGCTTAGTATGGAATGCATATAGATTTGCTTCGATAATGGATTCTTAATGCTTATATTATATTTACCTTTTTCATATATCATTAGTTGATTATGAAATCATGTATTTTTGCAAATGTATTTTTGCAAGTAGTAGTGGTTTGATGTAAGTTATACGTTGCACACCATATTTGTTAACATTTATATTGATTATTTAGTTAAAAAAAACACTAAACAACTCATTGGGGGTAAATTGGTCATTTTAACTAGTTCTATCTAGTCTTATCATGTCTTACCAAACGTTGAACAACTGTCATGTTCTGTCTGCATACCAAACGCACCCTAAGGGTTGTTATGTTTTTTAACTCCAGTTGTATTAGGGTATTTAAGTCATTTTCTAATTTTCTAAATTTTATATTAAAAATGAGAAATTAAGGTAAATAGCCATTTTACTTGGCTGAATTCACCTTCTAACTAACTCTCTCTTATATTCACCAAAAAGTCAATACTTTCACAAGTGCCCGACTACAACTTATGGGGTGGAGAATTGGAGTCGGGGGAAGTTTCTTACACTTGGAAGTTGTTGTTATAAATGACTTCCACAAGTTTGAAACTGAAGATATCAAAAGGTCTTTGACCTAGTGGTATGTGAGTATTTGGCCTCTTAGGAGGTGAATGGTTCAAACCTCACCAAAGGTGAGGAGAGTAAGTGAGTCTATTTGTTCCTATGTAAATATTATATACTTAAAAAAAAAAAATTAGAATGACATCTCCACAAGAAGTTTAGTTTGGTAAGAAGAGTGATATTTATAGAGGTATTGACTTTTTGGTGAGTGTGAATTAACTAAAAGGTGAATTGAGACAATAAAACAGTTATTAATGTTAATTTCCTTATTATAAAATGTAAAAGAAGAGGTAAAAAAAAACCCACACAAACCCTCCCAATCTAAATTGGGAAATTAATAGAAATAGTCATTTCCAGACCTTGGATTTATTTCTTAACATTTCTCTCATAAATTTCAAAAATATCATTAGGTCCGCAAGTGACACCTTTGCGGAGGGTCAAAATGTAAAAAAACGTTTCTAAACCAGGTTATAAGTATATGGACCAAATATGTAAAATAGATAATCCTCCTTTGCGGAAGTGACAGACTAATTTACAGATTTAGTCCCACTTACTGACCTGATTCAGAAACCTTTTTTTGCTTTGACATCTCCGCAAATTGAGAAGGTGCTACATACGGATTTAGTGACATTTTTGAAACATTGGAAAATAAATAGCTAAGTGATAAATACAAAGTTTGATTTCATTAATTGTCCTTGGGAATCTTATATGACATTGATGAAATCATTATTCAATACCAATCACCCCAAGATTTAAAATTTCTAGCAACAAACATATTCCATCCACGAGATAACAATTAATCCACTAAAACAAAACCCTGATATGGGGAGATTAAAAACCCTAGTAATAAGAAAACCAAGCAACAAGAAATCGAGTTCCTAAACCCTCAAGAAAATGGGATCGATCTTTCTTTTTGTCGTTGAAGTCTTTATTCACCCGTTCGAAATGCCTAAAAGAATCTCTGAGTAACGAGAAAAAAGAGAGAAAAATAGAAGCACAACATGGTATTGCATATGCTAGAAACCAAAGAGTGCTACCGCCGCAAACCCAACGGTTCGGTCTATCATGTAACTGTTATGAGAAAACCGAAACCTTTTACATCGTCAAGCTGTCGGGTTCTTGAACAATCTTTGCGAATGTTTTAAGGAAAGCAGCCAAGTCCGCTCCATATACAATTCGGTGATCAGCGGTAACATTTACCTGCAAATATTCATGGGTTAATGTAGGAACAGCCAAAGAAATCTCAACCTTCTTTCAAGAACTACGATGCCAAATCATTTGATGTATAACTGAATTCTTGCGGCCATCTGAATTCGATGATGTTGACTGGATAGAACCTTTTCTTTGATATTGTAAAAGGAACAACCACAAACAATGATATGGAACCATGAGATTTTAGCATTACCAGATCATGAGTTCTGGTGTTTTCATTATCCTACATAGATGAGTAGATGATAGATTAACTTTGACAAATAAAATGAGGTCCAGATTACATGGAGAATCAAGCTTCCAGAACTCCATTCTAAAACCTGAAATTAGGGTTTTGGAAATCCCATCAAAACCCCTTTGCATCTTAAATTTTCTATAACTTTCGGTTTTTATCTTGAAATAAACCGCGTGCCTCTTTAAGAAATTAACCCCAATTCAACTTCTTTTCATCTTTGTAAATATCACACATAAACTTAGCTTTTAACAGCATTAGAGAACGAAAGACAACGAAATGAAAAGGGCACCATCAAATCATATACAACCCAGACTGACCCCAAGGCCTTCTTTCCCACCTTCACCCAGCTCTAATTTATCTAATGTTTCAGCTCCAAATATCAATTAGGGCCCGACCAAGATTAACTTTCGATTATGGATTTAACAATAATCATCAGCTCAAATTTTTTCGAAAATGAGGGGGAAAAAGATGGAACAAGAACAAACTAAAATAAGAAAGATTGCAGTCTTAAGATCTCTTCTTATATTCAAATTCAACTACGTTGTATACCTGAAGAACAAACAGCACCATTGGCCCTAAACCCCTAACATCGAATAGCAACACCCTCTTTGCGGTCAGTTTGTTCTTGTTTGTTGGAGTATCACACAAACAGAATTGCATCATTCTCTATCACTCTGAATTCTTTTTCCATCTAAATTGGGCTAAATCTTTCTTTTTATTCTAAAATGTATTTGACCTCTCATGATTGCTAATTCTGCAACTGCAAGGTTACTAGCATTTGAATTCTCAATAAGTTAAAATACATCAACTCAAAACAGTTCTTTTCCACATTTCATTAAAAAAAAATTAGAGTTGAGTAACATTTAAGACCTAGCATGGACACATTGCGAGGATGGGTTGGGTTCTGGTGAGAATGGAAGTTATGATGAGAAGGGTGAGAAGGGATCTCTACCTTGGACCAATCTTAATCGAAGCTCAACACTAATGCGGTGCACCGAGATGCACCGGTTCAATTCCCTTGATAAGCGCAATTCATGGGGTGGGGGTGAGATTAAAAGTGATCAAGGGTCCAAATCCCTTCTTACGCTTCTCACTTTAACTCCTATTCTCACACGATCCTTCGTCTTGTGAGGATTTGGCTAGACAAACATGGAGCCAGTGATCCATTTGTGCTTTCTACATTTTTGACTAATTAGTAGCAATTAACTCGTAGAACCCAATTTATCATTAGGAAGCTTATGATTCAAACCAGTATTATGAATTTTCATCAGACTCGGCTTGGAGAATAGGAAGCAGAGTGGCATTCTATTATTCATTCATAGTTAACTCATGGGACTGACTTGGGTTTAATTACTATTGAAAGGCTGAAGAAAGATAGTGCTTTCTCTTGGAGAGGATTGAGGCTATAGTTAAAAAAGGAAAAATGGCGTCTTGAGAGGTTCTTGGTAGGAAAAAATAGATAATTCAATTAAGTTTTAGTACAAGTTGCAATACCTTTTCTGGCATCTTCAGGTAATTGCATGTGCATTCTATGTTAACGCTACATTATTGATGCTAGAATTTCGCTTCCAATTTTTGACAGTTGGATTCATTTAACCTAAATGAACCAAACCAAACCAAACCAAACCAAACCAAACCTTTCCTCTATCCAAAGGGGTAGAGAGGCCATTTCCATGAAGACAGCCGACTTGCAATTCAAAAGGTAAAAAGGAAACAGAAGTAGGTGAGAACAATCAACAAACTGCTAAATCATGGGTTCGAATCCCATTTCCTCTGGAAACAACCCTTGGCAACTCGATTGTTGTTCTATGTAATGCTGTAACAAGCTTATTTTCCACTAAAACCAACCTTTGTCGAGGTGAAATTACTTTTAAACAGGCTAATGTAGATTCCAAGGTTATGAAAACGTATGATCCCATCATGCTACTCTAAACTAGAATATCTACAAATTAGTCAAATGTATTTCTTTATGATGATCTTTTCTTCTAGAGGTCATAGTAATAAAGATTCATATGGGTTTGAAACATCATTTAAAATATAAAAAACTCACCAGCATTTGACTTTTCACGCTGAAATATCCATCTTTATCAGCAACAGCAGTAGGCTTTGAAGCTCCAACAGCCATAATAGCCCCCTACAACAAACAAACATCTTTATAAGACCATATCTAATTTACACAGAAAAAGATCCTAAAAAATCACTCTTTTTTGTTAACCCATGCCTGTCCAGGAGGAAGAATAGCGTCGAAGCGATCCACTCCAAACATGCCCAAGTTGGATAGAGTAAAAGTCCCTGCAACCGAAAGCTCATAACTCAACACCGTTTCATCCACAACAGCTTGTAAAGAAAGAAGATCCGATTACCATTGGAAACCAATATAATCTGGTAGTTACCTGAGTTGTACTCATGGGGCTGAAGTTGCTTCGACCGTGCTTTCTCCACAAGCTCCTTCCATTTTTGGGATAACAGATAAAGATCCAACTACAACAAAACACAGAGAATGCATATTACGATTAAAATCTAAAAAGAAAAAAACCAACCACCAAAAAAACAGTAATGGGATCTCTCTCTGATAAAAGATTTCAGATTGCTCATGTAGAAACTTGGTAAAATATTAGTATCTAGTAATGAGAATCACTTAAAATCACAGCACACCTTGTCAGCATCTGGAAGAACAGGGGTAATCAAACCGCCATTGATAGCCACAGCCACAGCAATATTGATGCTACTGTTATAAGTAAAGCTCTTTCCATCTTTGCAACTTGCATTTACAACAGGGTGCTGAACAAGGGCCATAGCAGCAGCCTTTGCTAGCAAAGCGGTCATGGTAACACCCTTAGGCTTGACCTGAAGATCCATCAACAAGCAACAATTACAGTTATGAACCCATAAGTCAATCAAACTACTAGAGTATGTAATGATCAAATCTCAGCAAGAAATAAGCAAGTCTGATGACCTTCTCATATAGAGCATCAAGAGCGTCTGTTATAATCGGGTAACCAACACGGAAGGTTGGCACAGACAAGCTTTCAATCATGTTCTTTGAGACCGCAGCTTGCATTGTGGTAAATGGAACAATAGTTGCCCCAGGAATTTCAGCAAATGTGGGTGCGGATTTAGCCGGGGCAGCAGCAGCTGCTGCCGCAGGGGCATGAGCAGCAGCAGTTACAGGGGCGGCTGAGCTTTTTGCAGGGGCGATTCCGGCAGCTGCTTCAACATCTGCAGGAGTAATCCTCCCAAAGGGCCCAGTCCCAACCAACTTATTTATATCAACCTTGTGCTGTTTCGCCAGCTTCTTAGCAAAAGGTGTCGAAACAATCTTCCTCGGTCCATCGGCCGCAACAGGGGCCGCAACTGGTGTAGGAGCGGCAGCAACCGGAGCCGGTGGCGGTGGCGGAGAAGGAGCGGAAGCAGCAGGCGTGGAGGGAGCTGAACTACCAGCACCAGCGGCTTTCGCTTTAGCTTCTTCAATTTCAGCTTCAGTTTCCGCTAATAAACCAATGGGAGCACCGACTGGAGCCGATTCACCCTCAGCGACAACAATAGCGGCAAGAATTCCATCGTAAAAAGTTTCGACATCCATATCAGCCTTATCAGATTCAACAACGACAACGGACTCCCCCTTGGAAAGAACATCGCCTTCGGACTTGATCCAAGACACGATCTTGCCCTCAGTCATGGTGGAGCTGAGTGCAGGCATGAAGATCTCTCTGATTTTAGCATGGATGGTGGAATTCCTGGTGCGGCGAGTAAATGTAACGGCAGGTGCGGAGGTAAAGCGCCATTGGGGTTTAGTGCCGCCGGCGATAGATGAAGAGAAAGAGAGTGCGGTGGGAACCCTAGATTGAAGAAGAGAGGACGACATGGCAGAGAGAAAGAATAGGGATTTGGGGGTGAATTAGAGAAAATTGCAGAGAGAGATATAGAGATGGGGGAGAGTGAGGCGGAGAAGACGAGGGGAGGATACAGTGTAAACATCGCCTAAACATAGGCCATGTCATCCCAGTTCGTTGGTCTAACCCCTCAACTAACCCATTCTTGGGACATCATATTATTATTCACACGACTCAACAAAACAAAATAGAGGTGATGGTATGTATCAATTTACAGAATCGTATACTAAAAATGTAAAAGACTCAGGGTTGGAATTATATTTTTTTTTCAAATTGTGACACCATTCGATGATAAAAAAACAAATATACAGAGTTTTTTTCCCTAAACGGTGGGCACCATTTGACTAAGAAAATGACACTAATTGAATTCGAACTTAGCTCTGGGATGGAATAAAAACCTTGTATATCAATTCTATCAAATAAACTTGTTCTCATTGTAGTTTTAAAATACATATAATGACACACAATAAATTAATACGGTTGCATATTTCACGAACCTACATTTTTTTATTCTTCAACGGTCGCATGTGCCACTGTGTGCAGTGCACCACTATAAGTCCGTCCATGTAAAAAATAAGTTTTAGTTTTTATGTATAAATTAATAGGCAGTTATATATTCAACAATATATAGAGGTGCATTTAGCCCATCCTATAGATATAATAAAAATGTCACAAGATTGATAGCTACTAATTACTTATATCAAATTAACTCTTACCGAAGCTAGTGAAATTAAATTAGTGAAAAGTTAGAGCTGTTTTTCCAATTTTAAATTAAGGATGTATCAAATCAACTACAAGATTTGGTTATCGGATAACTATATGGGGTCTTAAAAGTGTAGCTATGAAGAAACACATTGTAAATTATTGCTTAGACACCTCAAATTATATTTTTAAAACAAGTCGATAGTTGTATCTCTTTGTAGAATAATAATTCTATCACTACGATGATTTGACTTTCGAGATTAGGTAATTGTAATTAGAGGTCACTTTTGTTAGACGAGGCCCAAAATTAAATAACGTGATCATTGTATTTTGAACACCGAGTTGTGAAAAAGAACTAAGAAAATCCTTGGTTGTCTTATATGAGGCTCAAACCGTTGACCTCGAAGGAGGATCTCCAAAAACTCAAATTTTGTTATCAGTTGAGCTAACCGTACAAGATTGAAATGCAGTATATTCAAATTGCTCATGACTAAACTAACCCTAAAAAGATTATTGTTCTTCTAAACCAAAATAGGACTTTTGATTCTTGGTCTCCTACTCTATTGGTCCAACCCAAAAACCATTCTCCATGCTTATGCAGCATCAACATCGAGTATCCTTAACCAAGCTTGGTGCTTGTTCCGTTCAAAAAACTATGGGTATAATGTAATCAAGTAACTATCAATCCTGACTGGAAACTATATGTATCTAGGTCAGCTTGCATGCACCTCGACTAATCCTATATAACCCAAGTGATAACAATCGAGAAAACCCACAGTGATCCTGAGAAGACTCAAACTGATGACCTATGAGAACTCGTCCCAAAACCTGACCTTTATTTGCCGTTGAACCGGCCCCTCAAGGTTCACAACTCCCTATTTTGTCTCAATATGTGAAGGACCAACTCAACAGGTGCTCAATTTTTTGTACATGTGTATATGATGCAAAAGGAGAATAGATGAAGAAAAACAATAATCAAATCCACAAATAAATATACAGGTAGAGATTCTCAGTATACATGAATTTCAAGGAAAATATCAAAAATCAACATGTACATGAATCTTTATCAAGAGTGACAAAGACAATAATGGTCATATAAAAACTAGCAATTTCTAATACAATTACCTAATTGTAACAAAGAATAGAATGGCCAATATACAGAAAGAATGCACAATATGACATATAGAGAGGTCTTCCATGTTAAAAATGTGAACAACTTCAGATTCTCTTATATTAGAGTATATCACCAATCCAAGGTGATGGCCCTTGAAATGTAAAGATTATCTATGTACTTTATGACCGGAAGCGATGCCTTTATATACCTTCTCATTTCATCCTCCGCCGATTCATCTGTCATAATAACAAAATCAAAATATTAAAATGTTGTTTACCCATGAAAAAAATGCAACATTACTTCCTCTATCCCAATCCCATGTAAATTACATAATTTCCTTTTTCAAGAAGTATGAGAATATGTGAAACCCCTAGATTATTGTCCAAAAAAGCCCCCAAGGAGAGAAGATAGGTTCCAACGTATTTAGAGGAGAAATGGTCCAAGTCTAGCCGATTATGCGACTCTTAACACGCCCCCTCCAACGGGGGCTAGATGGAGTACGATACCCCCTAAAGCGGTAGACCTTGGCTCCAGTATCATCTGAGAATATGTGGAACCCAATTACTATCCAAAAAAGCCCTTGAAGAGAGAAGGGAGGTTCCAACATATATAGAGGAGAAATGATCCAAGTCTAGCCGATTATTAGACTCTAACAAAAAGATTATGAGTAAAAATTGCTTACTTCCTATATTTTCAATATTGCAGTGTATCTATGTGATTGATGTGCTCACCAGTTTCATTTAGATTCAGCAAGAGTTGATCTCTTGTTGGAAGAGCACACATTCCAGCAGAAACTGCAGTTCTGACTGCCCATGTGTGGTATGGTGCACAAACTTGTTTATATGCCGTTGAAGCCGCTTCTTTCAGTGAGTAATCGCTGAAAGATTACAAAAAACACCAAGAACATACACTACATTAATTACAAAATACAAGGTTCCATACGGGTGTCACAGCAGATTAATGTAAAATTACAGGATTAAAAGATGTTAAAAAAGAAAGATACGTACTCTGTTGATAAAAAATTCAGAAACAACTCTCTAATGAGATCTAAGCCCTGCCTAACTCTCCGAAGCTTACGAGTAAGGCTCTCTGCTGATTTCACTGAGTCATTCTTGACATCACAATCAATTACTTTACTCAAAGTGCCATAAAGATTTGCTGCATCAGAAAGATCACGCACCTGACAAGCCCCAATTGTGAAATTAGCTTGGCAAAATTGTTTGATTAGAAATAAAATTTGAGAAAAGATATACTGATTGCATCTATACACACCGGAAAAGAACCTATTTCTCTATGTTAATTTTTATGACAATAATCTATAAGAGTTGAAAATGACAAAAAAAATGTTCGTAATGGTTGAATGATCTTATTTATGTCATCAATGGAGGATCAACACGATAAAGATGTGGAAAGAACCCATATTTTTGACATACAAGTGAGAATATTTTCATCAGTTCCCACTTTCTTTTTTACATGTTGTACAGCTTTAGGGGGTGTTTGGGATTGCTTATTTAAAACAACTTATGCTTTT